GAGTGAGACAGTCACATCATGCTACAATGAATGAAGTGAGACAGTCACATCATGCTACAATGAATGAAGTGAGACAGTCACATCATGCTACAATGAATCAAGTGAGACACTGTCACATCATGCTACAATGAATCAAGTGAGACACTGTCACATCATGCTACAATGAATCAAGTGAGACACTGTCGCATCATGCTACAATGAATCAAGTGAGACACTGTCACATCATGCTACAATGAATGAAGTGAGACAGTCACATCATGCTACAATGAATCAAGTGAGACACTGTCACATCATGCTACAATGAATCAAGTGAGACACTGTCACATCATGCTACAATGAATCAAGTGAGACACTGTCACAGTATGCTATAATGAATGAAGTGAGACACTGTCACATGCTACAATGAATGAAGTGAGACACTGTCACATCATGCTACAATGAATGAAGTGAGACACTGTCACATCATGCTACAATGAATGAAGTGAGACACTGTCACATCATGCTACAATGAATCAAGTGAGACACTGTCACATCGTCCTACAATGAATCAAGTGAGACACTGTCACATCATGCTACAATGAATGAAGTGAGACACTGTCGCATGCTACAATGAATCAAGTGAGACACTGTCACATCATGCTGCAATGAATGAAGTGAGACACTGTCACATCATGCTACAATGAATGAAGTGAGACAGTCACATCATGCTACAATGAATCAAGTGAGACACTGTCACATCATGCTACAATGAATCAAGTGAGAGACTGTCACATCATGCTACAATGAATCAAGTGAGACACTGTCACAGCATGCTGCAATGAATCAAGTGAGACACTGTCACATCATGCTACAATGAATCAAGTGAGATACTGTCACATCATGCTACAATGAATGAAGTGAGACACTGTCACATCATGTTACAATGAATCAAGTGAGACACTGTCACATCATGCTACAATGAATCAAGTGAGACAGTCACAGCATGCTACAATGAATCAAGTGAGACACTGTCACAGTATGCTACAATGAATCAAGTGAGACACTGTCACATCATGCTACAATGAATCGAAGTGAGAACTGTCACATATGCTACAATGAATCAAGTGAGACACTGTCACATCATGATGAAATGAATCGAAGTGAGACACTGTCACACATGCTACAATGAATCAAGTGAGACACTGTCACGGTATGCTACAATGAATCAAGTGAGACACTGTCACATTG